GACAGCAAACGAGCTGCATGAAGTATATCCTGACGTGCCGTCGCAGTCTGCGGCGCTGGAGTGAGACAAGCCCTGCTTTTAATGAAGTAATTGTTATTTAATAGGTTTTTTTTATCAACACTGGGGGAATTTCAGGCCTCGCTGATACAACAGGAGCTCGGTGGTGTAGCAACGCCGGCGGGGTTGGATTGATAAATGTTCCTGGGGGAGGTGGAGCCCGTGGCAGCTTCCCAAAACCACAATGAACCACCTGGCACGAGGATTCCTTTTTTCTTCCCTCCCTCTAAAGGCTTTGGCCAGCCCCGTGGTGGCAGCCAAGGGTGGGATATTGTTCCTCCCTCCTAATCATAGAATGGTTCGAGTTGGAAGGGACCTTAGAGACACCTTCGCGCCAGCAAAACTTCATGAGTGGTCCAGCCTCAGGTGGGGCTTCTTTTTTTGGGTTGTGATTGGGATTTGGGGTTTTTTTCCAGCCAATTTCTCACTGTAGGAGGTGGAGATTTTGTCTTTGCTTGTTCAAGCCAGGATTTTTGGCCAAACCTGCCTTTCTGAGGAGAAGCAGTCCCTGCTCCTTCTAGGAAAGGGCTCCGTTTCTCGGTGAACTATTTGTGTTACGGTGGTTAAATCTGAGGTGGAAATTAATATGGATAAATATTAGGAGGGTTTTTTGTTATATTTGCCTTCTGGTTGGTAAATCAGCATCTCTGACTGTAGCACCCATGTCAAGTTGTCTGGTAGTAGTGGTACTTTATCATTTGAAGTTACTTCTGTGTCACTTGTCAACCTGGACACCTCATGTGGAGACAATGTGGAACAATGAAGGTAGAAAAGGGCTAATTAGGCTGTTGACATCTCCTTAGATTTGTTTCTGGTCTAAACCCTCTGCCTGGATTCCATAATTTCCTTGCATTCACTAATTGTGGCTGTTTGGGGATGGGCATATGGGGGTAGGGGTGTAGGACCACTGCTGGAGCTGCAGCTGGAGAACATCACCTGCTTCTGCTGGCACTGTCACCCAGGGGACAGCAAAGGTTTGGGACCAGGGTTTTGGAGCAGAAAGCGTTGATTCTTGGTAGCAACCTTGGCATTGGGGCTTATCCAGGAGCTGGGACTGCTGTGCCTGCTCTGTCTGACCCAAAATGCATCAGGAGTTAAATCTCTTGTAGGATGCGTCGCTGGCTTGAGGGTCAAAGGATGTGACCAGAGGGTGCCAGAGGATGTGGAAGCAGGATGGGAAGTGGTTCAACTTCTATTGCTGTTGGCAGAAAGGCAGCAACCTGTCACAGAATCACCTGGGGTTGGAAGGGACCTCTGGAGATCATCCAGTCCAACCCCCTGCCAGAGCAGGTCCACCCAGAGCAGGTCCCACAGGAACGTGTCCAGGTGGGGTTTGAATGTCTCCAGAGAAGGAGACTCCACCACCTCCCTGGGCAGCCTCTGCCAGGGCTCTGCCACCCTCACAGCAAAGAAGTTCCTCCTCATGTTTAGGTGGAACTTCTTATGTTCAAGTTTGTGCCCATTTCCTCTTGTCCTGTCCCTGGGCACCACTGGAAAAAGACTGGCCCCATCCTCCCGACACCCACCCTTGAAGTATTTATAGGTGTTGATTTTTCAGTCTTTTTTTCTCCAGACTAAAATGACCCAAGTCCCTCAGCCTTTCCTCATCAGAGAGATGCTCCAGGCCCCTCATTATTTTTGTAGCCCTCTCTGTCCCCTCTCCAGCAGTTCCCTGTTGGCCTCCTGAGCCCTCACAGCTGATAGGGGTCACTTTTCCCCATCAGGCACCCACTTGCTTTTCTCTTCTTTTCCATAACCCATCACGCTTGGATTTTCTCCCTGGTCTCTTCTCTCCCCCGCCCAGGAGAAGCCAAACCTCCATCAGTGAATCATTCTTGCGTAGGAATAAACCTGGGAGGTGGGTTCATCCTGAGAAGCTCGTGCAGAGCAGGCAGTGAGTTTAACCAAGGAACCCTGCAAATCTTTCCATTCAATAATTGAATTTCTGGTTGTTGGACCTGCTGGGACGTTGTCCCACCTCGTCCTGGCTGCTGCACTGGACCTTTGCAGGAGGCCACTTAATGAGGTGGAAAACAAGAGAATTATTTTAACCTGTGGCTTAAAGGCAGAGCAGATTTACTGTGTTTTAAAAACTCACGTCTGCTTTCTGGTTCATGCTGGAAACAAGTATTGATCCCAAGCAAAGCTCACCCTTGGATGGTGGAAGTATGTCCCTTGTGTCTTTTTCATAAGTCAGATCCCGAAGAACTGGATGTGGAGTGGGTGAAATGATCCAAATGGTTTTTCTGGGTTTGGTGCCCGAGGTGACACCCGAAGGTGACTTGCTGGCCTGGTCACCAGGGGTAGCAGAATTCCTGCAGCGCTGGAACTGGATGCCTTTCTCTCCAGTTTAAATCCATTTCTCTGATGGAGTCATTTTTCCTTAAGTCAGATCCCGAAGAACTGGATGTGGAGTGGGTGAAATGATCCAAATGAGTACAAGCCTATCAGTAATTGCTTTATTTGTCTGTTTATTTGCTTGTCTCTCCGGGGTCTGTCACCTCCCATCACGTTACATCAACTCCAACGAGTCAGGATGAGACTCTGCATCCCATTATTCTCGAGGGGGGGCTGATCTGAGATAATAAATGAGCCATCACTTCACTCTGATGATGGATACAACCAAAATCTATCCTAACTTGGTTTGGGGGTGTTGGCACAAGCTGTTCGTTTATTGTGTGTAATTAAAAAAACCCCCATCAAACCAAAAACACCCCTTTAATTAAAGCCCCCACCGCCAGAGCTTGTGATGCTCAGTGTTCAGTGATTGGGGTTGGATTGCTGAGAGCACAGGAGTGGGGGTTGTTGGAGATTTTAGGATTTCAGATATTGAGATGTGTTTGGCCGTGAGCTGTCAGGCTGCTAAAAGGGACACTTTACCCCAAATCAGAGCTCTGCTCATAGACAGAAAGGTGCTGAGATGGTTGGAATTAGGTTTATTACAAGTAGAGGGACTGCATCCATCGCTGGTAAAGTAGAAGGATAAAGACTTGGCTGTTTAAAGGGATTAAAGCCTCGTGAAGCCCAGCGAGGTGTAACCCTGTTCCTGGGATGAGGGTTTTCCTGTGGTCTGTGTCCATCTCTTCTCCCAAATCCCAGCTCCTGAGGCTGCTCCCCAAATTCCAGGTGGTGCCTGTCCCCGGGCAGTAGGGACAAGGAGGAGATGGTGCCTCTGTCACCTGGGGTGGGGGGGCTTCCTTGCTTTTGTTGTTTTGGGTCAAACCAGCCTTAATCTGCTGCAATTTGGTTGTGGTATTTATGGCTTTAATGCAGGTGGAATAGGGGGTTGTCTTCCCTCTCCTCTCTGGGGCCGGGGGGCAGGAGTGGGAGGGCGATGGCTGGTGATGCCTTGCTCTGCTGACAGCTTCCCGGAGCCTTTTTATACCTGTTGATTTATTCTGGTCAATAAGAGCTCTTCTGTTGGAGCTAAACTGCTTTTAAATCGTGGGGACAAGGGCACTTTTGTTGGGGAGGCTGGAGCCCTTCCACTTTCAGAGCTTTGGGAGGAGAAGTGGACATTCAAGGGCATTGTTCTCCTTCCCATTCAAACCAAACTCAGCCTCTCCTCCCAGTTTGCCTGAATTTATCCCAGTTTCACCAGCGTAAGGCGGACCGTGTCCCATCCATAGAGAAACAGAGCAGGAGGGATGGCTCCTGAGCTGCGTTCTCATCTTCTTGTAGACTTCTTGACGGTTGGACAAGATGATCTTTAAGGTCACTTTCAGAGCTTTGGGAGGAGAAGTGGACATTCAAGGGCATTGTTCTCCTTCCCATTCAAACCAAACTCAGCCTCTCCTCCCAGTTTGCCTGAATTTATCCCAGTTTCACCAGCGTAAGGCGGACCGTGTCCCATCCATAGAGAAACAGAGCAGGAGGGATGGCTCCTGAGCTGCGTTCTCATCTTCTTGTAGACTTCTTGACGGTTGGACAAGATGATCTTTAAGGTCCCTTCCAACCTAGAAGATTCTGTGATTGTTGTATTTATTCCAAAGGGGATAAACTGCACCTCTTTAAAACCAGCCGCCTTCGTTTTCTATTAAATAAACCAAAGAGAGTAACGCGTTTGTTTTGGAAAAGCTTGAGAAGACTCAGGGAGCTAATAATGCCCTGGAATGGTCCCTCCACAGCTGCAAGGAGGACCATGAAAATTGCAGGTGTGCTGGAAGGGCAGCCCCGAGCACTCAGAGCTCTAAATTCAGGTATCATTAGTCATTCGTTTGTTCTGGAGGCACCTAAGACTATCAGAATGAGAGCCAGTAACAAAGCACTTATTTCTGCTGGTAGTTTATACCCCGTGTTTGCTGGTGGCCATGAGATTAACTGGGTTTCTTAGTTTTTCCAGTGGTGAAGATCCCAGAATCACAGAATCTTCTAGGTTGGAAGGGACCTTAAAGATCATCTTGTCCAACCGTCAACCTCACTGACAAAAATAGACACCCACACAACAAACAAGGAGCATCATCACTAAACCAGACCTCCCAGCACTACATCAACCCCTCTTTTGAACACCTCTAGGGATGGTGTCTCCACCACCTCCCTGGGCAGCCCATTCCAGTGTCTGATGACCCTTTCAGTGAAAAAATTGTTCCTAATATCCAGCCTGAACCTCCCCTGGTGCAACTTGAGGCCATTTCCTCTTGTCCTGTCGCCTGTGACTTGAGAAAAGAGACCGACCCCCATAGCTCTCAGGTGCTGCTCATCAGCCAGAGCTTCCGACGCTCCCACCTGAAGCTGCTTTGCCAGATAAATGTGTCTTTTGTGTTAAATTCTTCCATTCCAGCTGCTCTTAGCCAAGAATTAGAAGAAAAGCCACCTCTCTGTTTAATTCGGGAAATCTCTTTCTGTAAATAATTGCTATTAAGTGCTGTGTAGAACAAGTTATGTGCCAAACTGAGCCAAATCTAAACTAAAGTGGTTTTGTTTTAATTTATTTCGTTGGGCAGTGTCAAAGAAACACGGCAAACTCATCACCTTCCTCCGAACATTCATGAAGTCGCGCCCAACGAAACAGAAGCTGAAGCAGCGGGGGATCCTGAAGGAAAGGGTGTTTGGCTGCGACCTGGGAGAGCATCTCCTCAACTCGGGCCATGATGGTAAGAACCAGTTCATTCTGAAGTTCTTCCTTCTGGGGGGAATCTTATTTTGGGGAGGGGGTCACATCCAGCAAAGGTTGGTCCTAGCAGAGAAATGTGTACCCAAAATCGATGGCTAATTGAGCACCGTGGTTCGACACGATGAGTTCTCCTCCTCCTGAAGTCTTCAAATAAATCTTCAATTTATTTTTTCTTTGCAGGGGAGTAAACTTTCTGTGTCAGCCTCAATGAATAATTAACTGCTGTGTTAAATCCATGCATTTCTCAGTACCTGTGTATGATTCTGCTGCAATTTGCAGAACTCCTTCCTCTGCCTTTTCCCTTGATTTCCCCTGATTTACAGGAATTCCCTGGATATTATGCTTTGTCACGTCTCGCTTTTCTCTTTTATGGTGAGTTTTCTGTAGCTCTTCTCGGTCCCTTTCTCCTTCCCACCAGCAGTTTAGGGAGGTAGCAGAGAAGTGATGTCTATTCAGAGAAAAAATGTGACAATTATTACTGCTTCTGCTCAGATGGACTTCAGTTTCTGTGGCTTTCCCACCCTGTGACCCCTCTGATCCAGGCTGTGAAGGTGCCTTCACAGGTACCAGCAGAGATGAGACTGGAATTCTCATCGATGGCTGTTGAGATGAGGTTGTTGAGATGGGTGTTGAGATGAGCATCACGGAGCTGCTGGAACCCCAGCTGGTTTGCCCAGGAGCTGGAGCCCTCAGGAGATGGGTGGTGGGTGCAGCATCACCAGCTACAGCAGCTTGTGGAGCAATTTCATATTTTTCTCCTTGCCTGAGGATTTTGCGGTAGGTTCCTGCGCCAGGGTGTTAACGTGATGTCTCCCAGCTTTGGCGTGCAGGCTGAAGCAGAGGAGAAGTGACATTTTGGGGTAGGAAAGGAGTTTTCTCTGTTAAATTGTGTTTTCAGTGGTTCCTTTGGGCTCCTCGCTCACACGAGTGCCTTTTGGAAACGGGATGGCAAAGGGTGGGGAGGTGTTTCTTGCACTTCTTCCAGCTGATTCAGTCCCTTAGTACCCCTTGGTGAATAAGATGAGCTTGTTCTTGTGGAATCAGGGCCGTGGCAAGGCTCGTTGCCTTGTTAATTGGAACCAGCGGAGATCTTTGTTGCCGGGGTTTGAAAAGCATCAGAGAGGCAGAAACTGGATGGTTTGGAGACAGAAAGAGACAGTCACCCCTGTAAGAGCTGCATGGGGAGGAGGTAATTTACGCCGCCGGGTAGCTATGGAGCTGGGGTTTGTGTTCCTGCTGTGGGAGCAATCTTGGAGGGCAGGAGACGTGCCAGCAGGGTGAGCTCATTAATGGCAACGAGAGAATTCTCTTTTATCCCCAGCCCTCCTCCCGGCCCTTTTAGTTGAGCACGAGTCAGCAATAATAAAAGCTTTTCCCTGCCCTCTGCGCTGCCTTCTCCCCCTGGCTTTGAGGGGTTTGCATTTGGTTTAGTGTTAAAAGACCCATCCTGAGCTGGAGGGGACTGTTCTAACTCCTGTTTGATGGTCTCCAGGAGCTCCCTCCCATCACATGTGACCAAGGGACTGCGACTGAGCTGTGCTAATGAGTTACCTTCATACAAGGAGTCGCCCCTTGAGTTCCCCCCTTGATTTAATCACTCGTTCCCAACTCCCTGGAGTGAAGCAGATCCAATTGGAAGGTTGCTAAGAGGGGGCCTGTCTCCGTTGCAGGCAGCAGGAGCGGTGTTTTTCTGGGTGATTCAGCTCCCTGACCTGGTTTTCCAAGTGACGTTGTCTTCCCCGGGGTGGGTTTTGCAGAGACGTTTCTGGGTTCCTCTGCATCACCGCATTTTTAATGTTCCCTCCTCCTGGAGCATTAATGATGCTCAGCCCTGGAGCTGGCAGCAGGGCTGGTCCTCCAAGAGGGGATTGACAGGACACAGGAGACCCCAAAGGTGCTGTCCTGCTCCTTCCCCTCCTAACCAGAGCATCCACGGGTGTTTTTATAGGAGCACAAAGTGCTGTCGCTGAAACCTGTGCGTGGTACCTACCAGTAAGGCTTTGGGATTACAGCACAAATCTGGAATCCTGGGCTGCCACCATCCAGGGTGACCTGGACAGGCTGGAGAGCTGGGCAGAGGAGAACCTCATGAGGTTCAACAAGGGCAAGCACAGGGTCCTGCACCTGGGGAGGAAGAACCCCAGGCACCAGTAGAGGTTAGGGGTGGACCTGCTGGAAAGCAGTTCTGAGGAGAAGGATCTGGGGGTCCTGATGAACAGTAAATTGTCCATGAGCCAGCAATGTGTCCTTGTGGCCAAGAGGCCAATGGGATCCTGGGCTGTGTAGGGAAGAGTGTGGCCAGGGGGTCCAGAGGGGGAGAATGACCTCCCTACTCTGCACTGGGGAGGCCACAACTGGAATCCTGCCTCCAGTTCTGGGCTCCCCAGTTCAAGAGGGACAGGGAACTGCTGGAGAGAGTCCAGCGTAGGGCAACAGAGATGATGGAGGGATTGGAGCATCTCCCTGATGAGGAAAGGCTGAGAGAGCTGGGACTCTTGAGCCTGGAGAAGAGAAGGCTGAGGGGAGACCTTCTCAATGCTGACAAGGATCTAAAGGGTGGGTTGAAGGAGGATGGAGCCGGACTCTTCTCAGTGGTTCCCAGTGACAGGACGAGGGGCAACGGGCACAAGCTGGACCATGGGAAGTTCCACTCCAATGTGAGGAAGAACTTGTTTGGGGTGAGGGTGGCAGAGCCCTGGGACAGGCTGCCCAGGGAGGGTGTGGAGTCCCCTTCTCTGGAGATCTTCAAGCCCCACCTGGATGGGATCCTGAGTGATGTCCTCTGGGCAACCTCTGAGATCACAAAGTCCAACCGCACAGTCTCATTTTTGCAGTCGTGAACGTCTGAAACTTTCCTTGACTTCTAGATGGGAAATGGTGAGAGAGGAGCAGAGCGAGAGAATAAAAGGGATCAGGAAGAACAAAAATTGAAATAGGTTTAATATTTTTTCACTCCACGTTGTCGGGGCAGTGGGCTGAGGTTGCTTTGCAGGAGAAGAGCGTGTTTGCTGTCGGGTCTGTGTCCCCCGAAGGGGATTGATGGGCACAGAGGGATGTTTGTCCCACTGAGCTGTCTTTGTGGGCTCAAAGGAGTATAAATTGAGGTGAGGTTTATAGGAGTTGAGCAATGCAGAGCAGGATTTGGGGTGATACCACCCTGAGATGAGTCGAGTTAGAGGGGTCTTAGAATGGTTAGAGTTGGAAGGGACCTTAAAGATCATCAAATTCCACCCCCTGCCCTGGGCAGGGACACCTCCCACCAGCCCAGGTTGCTCCAAGCCCCCTCCAACCTGCCCTTGAACCCCTCCAGGGATGGGGCAGCCACAGCTTCTCTGGGCAACCTCTTCCAGTGCCTCACCACCCTCACAGCAAAGAAGTTCTTTCTTTCTTTCTCGCCTTCAAACCTTCCTCTGTGCCTGGTGATTCATGCTGGGGATCGCCGTGATTCATAGACTGGTTTGGGTTGGAAGAGACCTTAAAAATCACCTCGTTCCACCCCCTGCCCTGGGCAGGGACACCTCCCACTCCAGCAGGTTGCTCAAAGGCCCCAGCTCGTTGTTGGCCACGTCCTGGGTTTGGGTTTGGCTGGGTTTATTTTAATTGTGGGTTTTTTGTGTGCTGACACTCGGGAGCTCCCCACACAGGGATGGGACCTTCTGTGGTGGGAGCTACAGCCCCATGTGGTGTGAAACCAGCCTTCCCCAAAGGCCCATGTGGACACCTCAGGGGAGGGAAACGTCCGGTTCCTTCCATGGATCTGAGTAATGGGCAGATCACAGGATTATTTTTCAAAATCATCCATTTTCTGAGCTGCTGTGGAAAATGGGAATGGGCACCAGGTGGGTGCACATCGGGGTGTTGCTCCAGTGAGAGTCTGTCCTTCCCTTTCCTCTTCCCTGTCACATCTCAGCAGCGACGTACAGGCTGGTACCTGCAGGAGCAAAACCAGTTTGGACGCGAGGGATCTTCTCTGTCGGGTCCAAATGTAGCAAAGGTGGTGGTGATGCTCCCTCCAGGTATGTTGGGTTGTGCAATACCCCTCCAGTCACCCCACGGCGCCGTGTAATTTGGGTGAGTTATTCATTTGTTGGCTCCTTCTGGGTTTTGAAAAGGTCCCCTGCCAACCAAGCGTCACTTGGAACCCGACCAGGCTTTGTAGGGAGCAGCTGTTTCTCCAGCACCCCAAGAGCTGCTCCCAGTTGGTGGGTGCTGTTGACACCAGCCGTGCCAGTTTGTTTTATGGAGCTGCAAGAGGCAGCAAACTCAGCATAATCCCTGCCTCCTCCACAGCCCTTCTTCCCTTTGGAGCTGGAGAGATGTTTTTCCGCTTAATTTTGGGGTTTTTTGGGTTTTTTTTTTTTGAAGGAAACCAAATCAAACTTAAATTTAGCTTGACCCCAATTAGAAAGACTTGTGCTGGGAGAGGCTGCAGGTGTTTGCTGCGGGTGAGGGCTTCATTGCAGCATCTGTCCCACCTCCCCAGCTCTGCCTCGGGGTGTTTGGAGATGGAGCTCTCCCCAGCTCCTGGTTTGGCAGAGGCTGGAGGAGAGGCCGGGGCTGGAAAGGTGGGAACAGAATCACAAGATCTTCATGGGTGGAAAGGAGCTCTGAGATCCCCGAGTCCAACCACACACACACACACAAAAGACCTCCACCATCTCAGGCACTAGAGCACGCCCTGAAGTGCCACCTCTACACCTTTCTTCAATCCCTCCAGGGATGGTGACTCCACCACCTCCCTGGGCAGGCTCTTCCAGGGCCTGACCACCCTCTCAGGAAAGTCATTCTTCCCAATATCTCATCTAAACCTCCCCTGCCCCAACTTGAGACCATTTCCTCTGCTCCTGTCATTATTCCCTTGGGAGAAGAGGCCAACCCCCACCTCTCTCCACCCTCCTTTCAGAGAGGGCAATGAGGTCTCCCCTCAGCCTCCTCTTCTCCAAACTCAACATGCCCAGTTCCCTCAGCCTCTCCTTGTAT